AGTAATCTGGATGAAAATAGGCTCAGGGGGATCCATGGAGGGGGGTAAATCAATACTCTATTGTCCTATTTCTGAACGGAACAACTGTATTGGTCGAATCTTATAACTGACACGTCGATTAGCATGCTGTCGATTGTGTTTTATGGTTTTGTTTTGATATGTAGTTTGTTTTTTGGTGTTGTTTTTCTATTGGTGTTGTTGTATTTTTTTCGATTGTGGTATGGGAGCCCTGAATTTGTTGTTGTTTGGCGTGTCTTTGTTGGGTTTTTTTTTTGGGGTTATAAATGATTTTGGCTTGTTGTTTTTTTTTTTTTTTTGTTGTTTTTATTGGTTAGTGTTTGTTTTTTTATTGTTAGTTTGGTTTGGTAAGCAGGTTGTTTATGGTTGGGTGGTTGAAATTTACTAAGGAGTGTTTTGTTGTTAATTTTGTTTTTTGTTTAATTTACTATTTATGTGTTTGGGCATTTGTTTCTTTTTGTGGGTAACTTTGTTTGTTTATTTTGTAGTGTTTCCGGTTGGTTTTGGGTTATGTTTTTGTGTTGGTGTTTGGGTTGTTTTCTTTATTTTGTTTAATTTGTAATTTTTTGCTGTTTTTTTTTGTGATTTTTCTGCTTATTGATTTTATTTATTGAATTTGGGGGTTGTTGTTTGTGAAATTTGTCCTGCTGGGACTACTTTGTGTTTTTTTTGTTATGTGGTTTAAGTTTTTTAGGGTGTTTTTTATATTCTTTTTATTTGGGATGTTACCATTTTGTTGTTGCGTTTCGGTAGTGTATTTGGGGGGGTGTTAGCTTGTTTTGTGGATTAGTTGTTTTTTGTGGTTGGGGGGCTGTTTAATTTGCATTTTTTTGTGATTTTCTTAGTGGTTTTTATTCTTGTTTTTAGTGTTTTTTATTTTTGGTTGGTTTGTTTATTGTGGGCAGAGGGGGTTTTGTTTGTTTTGTTATTATATGTTGGTGGGAATGTATTTCTGTTTGTTTTTATTGTTTTTGTTTGGTTTTTGGGGGTGTTTCGTATTTGGTGGTTTGTGTTTTATGGGTCGGACGATGTTTTTTGTTGTTTTGTTTTTTTAGTTTATTGGGTGGGTTTTTTTATTTTTTTGGGAGTTTTGTTTTTGTTTTTTGGTTTTATCATTTTTGAGGATTGCGTTTTTTTTGGATGTTTTTGTTGTGATTGGATTTTTTTGTTTTTGTTTTTTTTTATTTTTTTTTTGGGGGGGGTTTGTTTTTTTTCGTGTTTTTTGTTTTTTTTTGGTTTGATTTTTTTGGGCTTTGTTTTATCTTTATGTTGTTTTTTTTGGCGGTTGTTTGTAATCGCTATTTTTGTTTTGTTCAGTATTGTTTTTTTTGGGTTTTTTTTTTTGTGGTTTTTTATAATTTATTGGGGTGTGTAATTTTGTTTTTGATTGGTGTTTTGTTTTTGGTATTTTTTTTTTTTGTAATTTTGATTTTGTATGTTTTTGTTTTGGTGGTTTTTTTGATTTTTTTTTCCTGGTTTGTTTTTTTGTTTTATTGTTTTTTTTGGATGTTTTGGTTTGAATTTTTGGTGGTTTTGTTTTTTTTTTTATTGCACTTTGTGAGTCTTTTGTGTTTGTTGTTTTATTTTTGTTTTTTTTTGTGTTTCTGCTTTTTTCTGTATTTTTGTATTTTTTTTTTTGTTTTATTTTAGCTTAGTTGTTTTGTTGGCTTGTTTGGGTTGTATTTTTTTTTTGTTCTGTTTTTTTGTTTTTTGTTTTTGTTTTTTTGCTAGGTTTTTTTTTTATTTGTTTTTTTCTTTATTTTTTGTTGTTGTTGTATTTTTTTTTGTTGTAATGTTTTTTTTTGTTATTTTTTTTTTGTTTTGCTTTGGTTTTTTTTTTAGTGTTGGTTTTTTCTTTGTTTGGGGTTTTTATTTTTTTTGTTTGATGGCATGTTTTTTGTATTTGTTTTTTATTTGCTTTTTTGTTTTATTTTTTTAGTTTTGGATGTTGTTTTTGTATTTATTGTTTTGGTTTTTTTTGTTGATTTTTTTTTTTTTTTTTTTTTTTCGTTGTGTTTGTGTTTTTTTTTTTTTTTTTTTGTTTTTTTTTTTTTTGGTTGTTTTCTTTTTCGTTTTGGTTGTTTTGGTTTGTTAGTGGGGGGATTGTGTTTATTTGTGTGGTTTTTTTTTTGATTGTGTTTTGTGGTGTTATTTTTGTATTTTTTTTTGTATTGGGTTGTTGTTTTTTTTCGATTGGGGATTGTTTGTATGTTGTTTTTTTGTTTATTTGTTTTTTTTGTTTTGTTTTTTGTTTTTTTTTGTTTTTTTTAGTTTTTTTTTTTTTTTGGTTTTTTTTTTTTTTTTCTTTTTTTTTTTTTTTTTTTTTTGGTTTGTTGTAATTTGTTTTTTTGTTTTTTTTTTTATTTTTTTTTGTTGGTTTTTTTTTTTTGTTTTATTTTTTGTTTTTTTGTTATTGTTTTTGTTATTTTTTTTTGTTTTTTTTGTTTTGTTTTTCTTTTTTGTTTTGTTTATTTTGTTTTTTTTTATTTTTTGTATTTTTGTTTTTTTTTTTTTTTTTTTGTGTTTATTGTTTGTTTTTTTTATTTTTTTTTTTTTTTTTTTTTTTTTTTTTTGTTTGTATGATGTTTTGTTGGCATTTTTGTTTTGTTTTTTGATGGACGTTGTTTTTTTTTAGGTTTTACCTTTTATTTGTCTTGTTATTTTTTTATTTTTAAACTTGAAGTGTTGGGGTAATGTTTTATTTATTTTGTAGTTCCGGGTTTTTGTTTGTTGTTTTTGGTTTTTTTTGGGGGTGTATTTTGTTTTTATTATTTTTTTGTGAGTTAATGTTGTTTTGTTATTTATTATTAGGGGATTTTGTTTGTTATTATTGTTTTTATTTTTTTGGGTCTTTTTTTTTATTTATTGGTTTTATTGATGTTTTGGTTCGTTTTTTAAAATTTTTTGGGTTGTTGTTTTTTTGCGGTTGTTGGTTCTTTTAATTGTTGTTGTGTTTGGCTTTTTGTATTGTTTTTTTATTTTGTTGTTTTTGATTTGTTTTCTTGTTTATATTTTTTTTTGCTCTATTGTTTCTTATAATGTTAACCCATGATAAAGTTTTTTTATGAATTTTTAGTTTTGGTGTATTTATTGTCTTTTTCACCCCCTTTTTTTTTTTTAGGGCATATTTTCTGCAACCTTTTCAGTTATTTGTTTTTTCACACTGTGATTTGTAATTTTGAGTTTTGCCATTGTTGATATTTTTATGCTTTTCATTCTTAAACATGTTAGTTTTACCATTTTTAATAAATTTTAGTTTTTTTTGTTGATTATTGTTAAAGCTTTTATTTTGGTGTGTTGTGTTTATTTCCACGTTGGATTTTTTTTTTTTTTTATATTGTTTTTTATGTGGTTTGTTATATGTCCAATTTTGGTGGTTTTTGTTTATTTTGTCTTGACTGTTTATATTTTTTGTTGGATTTTTTGTTGTTTTTGTTAATGTTTGTTTTGTTTTTTCTTGTATTTTTGGTTTGTCTTTTCTTTTTGTTGTTTTTTTGGATTTTTTTTCTTGATTTTTTTATTATTTGTTTGTCATTTTGTATTTTTTATGATTTTTTTCTTTTGTTTATATTTTGCTGTTTGTTGATGTGTATTTTAGCGCCTTTTTTTTTTTTGACCTGTGTAGTTATGCGGTTGTAACAAGTGGTTGTAATACCATATTTTGTGGTGTGTTGCATGGACTGTTTGCATTGTTACCGTTTGTGTGTAAGTCTTTCGGTGTTTTTTTGTGTCCCCCCGCCGATGTTATTTTTGTTAATATGGTATTTTTTTTTATTGATATGGTTGCACCTAATCTCGTTTGAACTTGTTATTATTTAGTTGTTTTTTGATATTTCATTGTTGTGTGTATTTTTAGGTATTTTTACATTATTGCGGGTATATAGTTGGATTTTTTGTTATTGTTTTTGAGGGGCTATATCTTTTTATTTGGTTTATTGATTTTGATTTGATTTTGAAGGTGTGATTTAAGATATTGTGTGCAAATAGTGCCAAAACAATTTGTTCTTCACAATTTCTGCCAGGGAATGTAAACTTTTTGAGCACAACTGTATATGCTTATATATGCTACTGTGTGCTAATAAAGTATATGATAAGGTTATGTGTTGCCTGCTATTCTGTTACGTATATTGGATCGAAAAAGCAGCCTGAGCACCAGCACCCAATCACATTCCTTTGCTGAGCAGTAGTGCTTGGGTGAGTTGTTGACTACATATCTCATGGTGCAGTACTCCAATAAAAAGTTAACGTATTCATAAGTGCCCAATCCTATTCACAAAAATAGTGCACTAATCCAGTGCACAAAAATAATTGCCTATCTGATAAAATCGAGATTGCCCCCTTAAGGCCAAACATCCATCCAGCATACAATAAGCAAAATGGCCAACCTTGTGCTTCCGGCGTAATGATGTCCTCTAACACCCCTCTGAGGGCCCCCCTGCTTTTCTCAGCCAAGCTCGAGAGCAGATAGAAGGGAAGAACTGCAAATCGGCACAGTGCTGGATCGATGTCTGACTTAGTATTTGGAGGGGTGGAACAACAGCAACTGGAAACTTTTTGTTACCTTCATCTATAAAATGCATGAAGTTAAAAAAACCTTTTTGACTTTAGAACCACTTTAAGGCTAAGATTTTCTCATGCAGATCGCTTTTCAGAGGTGTTGAACGGGCAGTGAGGAGGTGATATCTTGCCCCTTGGTGCCTGTTTTAACCATGTAAAGCCTGTGCCACAACTGCAAGCATGGGCATGCCTGCCAGTGGCAAAGGACCTTCGCAGCTTAAGGTGGGGGAGTTAAAACACAGATCAGTTGCCTATTTTATTACAGTATGTTAGGAATGTAAAAATAAGAACGTGATTGATCATTTATAAAGGGTTAAAGCTGTTTTCATGGTAACATTTCAGATTTTAGCTTTTACCATTTTGTTTTCTTAAGCTTATATATTAGTTCCTTAACATGCACCCTTTATGTTTTGTGTGTTTTTAAGTTTCAGAAACTCCACCTCCACCACCCCCTGCAGAAGAACCAGTATTTGATGAATCTCCTCCCCCACCGCCACCTCCAGAAGATTATGAAGAGGAGGAAGCTGCAGTAGTAGAGTACAGTGACCCATATGCTGAAGAAGACCCTCCTTGGGGCACCTAGAAACTACTTAGAGAAAGGTAATGGTGCAAGCTATTTGCTCTTACAGCCATCCCTGCTGCACTGGAAGCAAACAAGCCATTATATATATGCCAATTGTTGTGGTCATTCGTACGGTTATATCTGATGATTTTGGATCATATCATGTGGAATGTATGATGCATTGTTGCTGTTGGGAGAAACTCTTGTTGGCTTATCCTACCACTAACAAATTTTGATCTGAAAGGTGATATTTTGTAAATAGAAGTCTAAAATTGAAAATATTTTATTGAAAAAAATTTAAACTTGCAACTTACAGACTGTTTCCTGATTGATGCAAGGTCATTAGCCTGTTAATATCTTCCTCTTTCTTCCAGTTGTGGCAATTTATGATTATTCAAAGGACAAAGAAGATGAGCTGTCCTTTCAAGAAGGAGCTATCATATATGTCATTAAGAAGAATGATGATGGCTGGTACGAGGGTGTCATGAATGGTGTGACAGGTCTTTTCCCTGGCAACTACGTGGAGTCAATCATGCACTATTCTGAATGATGACAGGACCTTGCAACAATCCCTTCTCTCACCAGAACCATTGGGGCTTTCCAGATTTACATGAGCCCCTGGGGGGCCACATTTATAAACTGAAGGAGATCATTGTCATTTGAACCATTTAAGTTTTGTTCATTTTTTTTTCTTATTAAAAGAAATAGTGATACAAGTTGTTTGAACAAAAGTGATCTTCCTGCTGCTGAAGTGCAGTTTTGGGTTATTGGAATTTGTTGGTTGGACTCGAGATGTCTTAAATCTACAAAAGGGTCTATGACATTACATTTATGAGCCCTATTTCACCCTTATCCCTGTCTACCTGATGGCCACAAGTATCCGAATAGCCTAAAAGTATTTGATTTGTATCAGTTTTTTTCCTGTGTCATGTATGTAATGAGTTAATCCTTCTTGCAGTTTGCCATGTTCTGTAAACTGTTCCACAGCTGCACTAGAAGCAGATTGATGCTAGCTGATATCAAACTTTAGCTGAAGATGGATCTTTATCCATTTATTCTACAGATTGAGGTCGTTTTGTTTACTGTGTAAAGCACCAAAGAAACCTTTTTAAGAAGAAACACAGAGAAACTGTTTATCAAAAACATCCAAACAAGAAAAAATATGCACAGCTATAGTAGTGTAGAAGTACAATAAAGATAAAAGTTTATACTGTTATGGTGAGCGTATCAACAAACTTCAGTGTTTAATGCAACAGTTAACAAAATGCCTAGTATACAATTTATTGTTAAGAAACCCCAAAGACTTTTGCTGACTATAGCCATTTATAATATTGACAGTCTTAATATGAGCAAGTATTTTTCATGTTTACTCATGAAATCCATCTTTTGCTTCATATGCGAAATATACAGTTCAGTATGTTTATGAATGGACACGTGAGCAAGCCTTTGAACTGCCACTTGAGTGTTTTATTCCAGCTCCCAATAAATCTGAATATCGTATAGTAATGACCATTAAGTCTTATCTGTGTACAAGACTATGACTGAACAGATTTCACTGTGTCAAGCCATTCTGCGGCACCAGGGGCGTGTTAGAGACAATCAAAAAGATGTGGCCACGTAAGCTGGTGACCTACAATTGTCACTTTGTACATCTTGCTGGTGGTTTGCAGTCTAGTTGCGAACTCAGGAACTGTTTGTTTTACCCTTCCCTAAATAAAATGAGAATAATAGCACATAGTTATGCTGACAATTTAAATGTTATTATTCATTGTACTGCATTAACTTTGGCTAGAGAGGTCTTTTCATTGCTTTGTGCTAATGCTTACTGTTGAAGAAATGGTTTCTTGCAAACCGCTTGTATATAATGTGATTTCCCTTACAATAAATCTATCCAGATCATGACGTCTCCAGATTAGTGGATGTACTCTACCTGATTTTCTGTATCAGTGCGACAGAGCATTGCTAGCAGTAATTAGGTAGGTCAAAGACCAACTTGATGGTAAAACATTATTTATTTTTTTTAATGAATGTCAGGATTCCCTTGTTTATTTAATTGTTTACAATTAAATAACTCGGTACTCTTGCATCCTTTTGTGATTAAGAGACCGCATACTGGAACTAGGGCCTAAATACTATAAAAATGTTCTAGAATCCTATGGAACATAGGGCTACTACAGTTTTATTTTCAGCGTTTCCTCTACACAGAAAACATTTACTCTTGTTTTCTTTATTCTATCTTTCATGATTATTGATGTTGCTATTGGATATTGAGAGCTCAGATTTTGGTCCTAAAGGGATATAGATTTGAATTCTAGTGTTGAAAATTTGTCATTTTCAAAAGGTCCTGGGTAGCAGCTTCTTCTCTATATAGTTATTCCGTATATAACCAGCAAAACACTCTTAAAGTGGTTGTAAACCTCAGGCATGAAGTATGAACAAAGCGTACTGAAGAGCAATACCCACAATTTTTCAATAATGTTTCCATTCATGTTAAATAAATGAAAAATTAGAAGAAGAATGTGCAGCGCCCCTTAAGAGTGTATAAAAAGCAATGATATAGGAAAAAAAATTCTCCAAAATTAAAAAAGTGTAAAAAACAAACAAAAGAAATGCAAAAGAGTACAAAAGAAATGTCCCAGTGAAGAATCTCGAGGAATCAATCTACTACCTTCACATGTGAAATCACTCGTATATAAAGTGTTTAGAAGCCAGCCACCTTCTCCCTGTGAATTCACCACTCACTGGAACAAAGAAATTTGCCTACATAAAAAGTGGCGTGACATCAGCCCCAGGGGTGGAGTTTCTAGTGCTGATGTCACACCTCTGCTCTTGGTGAGCTTTATTCATTCCAGCTTGATCCTAACCAGGAGTTGCCATTGGACACACATTGAGGAGCATCGCACACACGCTGATGAATTCACAGGGAGATGGTGGCTGGCTTCTGAACACTTTTTATATGACGAGTGATTTTTCTTATGAAGGTGGTAGAGTGATTCTTCATGGGGACTTTTGTGGACTGTTTCTTACACCTATTTATTTTGGAGATTAATTTTACTATATCCTTGCTTTTTGTAAACTAATTTAAGTGGTGCTGCACATTCATATTCTTTATATTTATGTGGGTTTATTATACTGCCTATATGTGAAAGCTGCCACACATTGCTTTATCTTGTTTTTCACAGCATGGATATTTCCATATGGATATGAAAACTAAGGCTTGGGAATTGTCCTATTTTTACTTTTTTTTTTTTTTTTTTTTAGCAATGCAATCATGGTTTAAAGGAGCTGATTTTCTAAAAAGTTAAATTTATATTTAGAGTTTTGAAAATTATCGATAGGAGATTGTGCCAAACGATTGCTTAATTTGCTTTCTGTAACCTGACTGAATGGTATTATGGAGCAAATCAGTGTGGCATAGTGGTTTTATAACATCTTTATAGAACTTTGATTTTCCAGTATTTATTGGGGAATGTTTAGGTGTTTTGGCCTCCAACATTACTATAGGTTAAGCTGTGATGCGTGAAGGCATAACATATGGTATGTGCATTACAGTATGCCTCATTATGGGTGTGTTGCCCCCTACTGTAAAAGTGTGTTAGGGTGCCATTCTGAATGAATGTCATTGCAAGAACTGCAGCATGGTTGGTCATTACTTTACCAGGTGTTACTTCAACATATAAATAGTAATGTGACCTTAAAAGGGTGGAACATTCACCTTTTTGTTATGTAAATCTAATCTGTAAATGTTTACTATTTTAGCTATGTTTGTTTCAATTAGTATAGTAAGACCAAACACTTTGAAAGTTTTCAGTATTGTGTTTGTGCTGCAGTTGGTTAGAGTTCTTGAACCTTCTTTGTGATCTCCTTTGAAATGGATCAGAGTGTTCCTGATCTCTTGTGTGAACCAACTTTACGTGATGGTGAGTTGTGAACAAATCTGCACGTCTGATGCTGATTGTTGGATTCCATGAACTCTTGGGCATTGTAAGAGGACCCTGCACACATCCCATATACTTGTAATCATAAAAAAAAAAAAATATTTGTGGCATATGTATTAATGTCACATTCTGATGCACCTGGTTACAAAAGTAGAGCTGTCAAAATAGCTGCAGTTTCTGGAATACTTTTATCCTCTACTTGATCCAGGGTTTATAGCAAATTCACTGGGGCTGAAAATACAATTTTATACCAAAGGGTTTTATAAAGTGTAACTATACACATAACAACTTGATAAAAAAAAAAATTTCAGCAAAGAACACACATTCCACATTAATAGTTATGCTACCAAAATGTGTGTGTGCTTTAAATTGCCTCCAGTATTCTGTTTCTTCTTGCTGGAGACTGCTATTTTGCTGAAGCCCAGAGCCCCTGAGTAGCAGTAAATCTTTAGGCTGTCAGCTGATCGGCCTCTACGTTTTTGGTATGGTTCCAGAAATGGAGAGCAAGTGATCATGTGCAGAGCAGGATGAGACGGTGTATTGTCACTGGATTTTAAACAGCGTAAGCACTTATTTTTAATGTTTTATATAACTATACTTGCAAAAGGGGCCAGCCTGAAGTGGTTCAGCAGAACTTAATTTTCTGACTAAAGTTCCACTTTAAGTGGTGGAACTTAAAAAACTGTCAACATCAATAACGCCTTAAATGACCAACTATTCTTTAAGGCACCATGTATACATTTCTGCTGCATTATGGTTCAAACATTGCAGCATAAGTAAGGTGCAATAACATGCATTGCAGTAAGGCATCCTATTCAACTTGAGTGAGCTGTAAAGGTACACAACAGTTTAGGTTTAAACAGACCTCCAGAATTTGAAGTCAAAGCAGGGCACCACAAAGTGCTGAAATGCACATATCTCTTGGTGTGCAGCCAAGCTGAATTAGTGTGCTATTTGAAGTAAATAGCACCGCAGTGCAATTGCTTTTTATGGTGCATTAGTGGTTTCACCTAGCTGTACATCCAATTACAATGTGAGTATCACAAATACACAGTCTATTTCATATCTACAATATGTCACATATTTTAGATATGAATTGTGTATAAGTCTATATAGGGTCACCTAGTGGCTTATTATATTAGTGACAAATCGAATGTTTTGTACCAAAGTGTTTTTTATTTTTAGAAATGTATTATTTAAACCCCATCCCAGCCAAAAATATGTAAAATAAAATGTCAAGATTTTTTTTTTTTTTTTTTAAGTGCACCCCTGATAAAGACTATCCTCCTCCCTTCCTGTGGGGCTGAGGGATGTCAGATAGGGCAAGAAGAAAAAAGAAATCTTCTCTATGGGTACCTAGATATCTGTTATAATCTAACTGAAAAACCATGTCAATGGGGGGACACACGCACAAATAAAAAGTTGATAGTTGAATGTAAAAGCTATGTGACCCTACAATTGGAGGCTGTGGTGCTGAGCACTGTGTAATCTGTATATTTCAGCCTAGTATTGTTGACTTGTTTCTTAACAGCAGTCTTTCCTCAGCCAAAATTGGTGGGACTTCTCGTGTTCCTAATGCACCTGCAGGGAGATGACCACCTTTTATACATGC